ATGACCATGTTCAAGTCTTAAAGTCATCCTGAGGCTTTAGTTTTGGTTTCAAATTACACAACATCATGTATGTGTTGCTTCTTTGGGGCTTGTTTTCATAGACCTGGTTGCTTATTTCTCTCAAATCTGGCAACAGAGTGGGCGCAGTGTCTAATTGTAGCAGTAAGCTAACGAGTACTGAAAGCTTTATTTTGTTTTGATCCAATGCTGCACAACTGAACTGATCCAATGCTGCTGTGAAAAAAAGAAGCTATATCCATGTTGGATAGAATATCCAATTTAAATAAAAATAATAACCTTAAGGGAGAACTTGAATGCTTATTTTCTTTTTTTCCTCTTAATGCATTGCATAAAGATCGGATCGGGAAAAATCGGTATCGGCAAATTGTCAAAATCAAATGATCGGAATCGGATCGGGAGCAAAAAAAGGTGATCGGGACATCCCTAAAAAGGGGTAATGCGTTTTTTGGGCATGGTTAACTATTTGGCAAAATTCTGTGAACACCTGTCTGAACCTCTGCGAGAGCTGACCCACAAGGATGGGATATGGGAGTGGGCAGAGCGGCATGAACATACTTTGCCGGCTCGAGGGCACTTCCACTTTTTCCTATTATGTGTTGGTAGATCCGGTTACTCATTGCGTCGCCAGCTTTATCAAGGTTTTCTTTACAAAGAAATAGTTTTTTATCTTGTAAATGAACTGGAAAACAGGATTAAATGGGGAAACTACCCTGCACAAGTGCCCTTTTGACAAAGGATGCAAAGAAGACGAAGAGGGAGAGTAATAGAAACACTCTTTCTACTAAACCAAATCATAAATAAATAAAATATGCCTACCTAATACCAGGTGTTTAACCCTGCCTTTATCCTTGCTCTTGGTGTTCTAGTTATTTGGGATTCTCACAGTAGTTTCTTGCTTTAGACAGTGGCATTAGCTAGGCTGCTAACGGTAGCCATGAGGCTAACGAAGTATGAAAATCAAAGGACAGAAAATATGTTTTCAAGATCTTCGTCACGCAGCTTGTTTGATCAAATTTAGTGTGTCCTCTGGTTGTAGCTCTGAGGAAAATTGAAAGTGATCTGTCAACAAAAATAATAATACCAATATGATAAACTAGTGGGAACACTTTTGGACTGTGTGGTAAAGAACACAAATCACTTTATCATGTTTAATCAGATTTAATACTAAATTACCCAAAAAATGTATGTGAACATCTAGAATACGTTCATATTAAGAAGAACGGGTCATTAGAATTTTTACACTTTTGGCACATGTAGATGAGGTTAGAAAAAAAGTGTTATAACTCAAATGCGCAACACAAGGCACATAAGTTAACTGACTATTAATCAGACTGCAAGTTATCTCAAACAATCGGTAAAATGATGCTTTAGTATATTTGTAGCTAATCAGTGCCATGCAATAAAATACTGTTTATTTCATAATCTCTTTCACGTAAAGTATCACAAAGCAGACCTGATTTAACACAATATAAAAATGAATACCACAAAAGGAACAGACATTACGAAAAATGTTAAACAACAAGTGACACACAACTTAATGTGTTTATAGTTTAAGCTTATTTTTTTTATACATAAATATATTGTGAAGCAATATGTTGTTACTATATCTGGAGTTAAAACCAAAAGGAAAATCCACCTCTAAAAAAAGTCCTAATTCTATGCTGTGACATGCACAATGTACTTGAATTTAGCTGCAGTTACATGTGCTGTTTGAAGGACAGATAATGATATGTTCTACCTGTGTTAAATTCTTTTTTACAATTGTTAAAGTTTGAATCTGGTCAGCTTTCCTCCTTAAAATTCCACTATCCCAAAATGTCAATGTTGCTCAACATAGAAACCCAGGCACAATTTGATGACATGTTTGGTTATGCTATGGAAGCTCTGGAAAAGGCAGCTTCTTGCACTTAAACTTTGAGGGACTGAGACTAAAATACAACACCTAATATTAATATTTTATACTGAAGCATTGACTCTTATACCAACTCGACTAAGCTTCTGGAAATATTTTTTATGAGTCCGTCTATCCCAGGAAACAAGTTGAGGAAAAACTCAAAATGCTGTTTGATGGGAATTAAGATGCTCTTTAAGTCTTTTGAGGTGGATTTTTCCTATAAAATGTACGCACGCACAAAAATATAATAATATAAAACACTTAAATGATAAAAAGGCCATTCAGTCAATGTTCTTCTCTTTGGTACGTGTTTAAAGGTGGGCACAAGCATCCACCTAAAGTGCTCTATATGGTACAGTAAGCTGGTCAGGCTTTTAAATAAACGTGGAGTCTTTTATTTCTGACTGTGGCGAGTCTTAAATGAGGCTAAAATGGTCTGTTTTCTATCCAGCTGTAATTTTTCTCCAGTGACGCCACTCTGGAATACATCAGACCATCGTATGGACCGGATGTAGTCTGATAGGGTACGAAGGTCCAAAAATAAAACATTTGAAGTGATAAAGCTTCAGTATGAGCTCTATTTTCTGACACACACACACACACACACACACACACACACACACACACACACACACACACACACACACACA